TCATACATACTGCACACAGGCACCACATGTGTCACACACACACACACGCACACACGCACACACAGGCACCACATGTGTCACACACACCCCACGTATAACTCAGGCATGACATACATCATCACCTTCACGTGCACCACAAATACACACCAACACATGTACACATGTACCACACACCACACCCATACCATACTGACAAATATCATACACACAAGCACCACATACATGTCTACCACACGCATACCTATACACACCACACATATGAACGACTCAGCATACCCACACATACACATCACATGTTCACATATGCATCATACCCTTCCACCACACACTCGACACACAGAGAGAACTCATACCACCCACATGTTTCTTACATGATGTTTTTACTTCTTCAGGATGTTTTAGCACAAGGGACAGGGATCTGGGTAGCTAGAATTAATAGGAAGAAAGGTGGGAACCACACTAAGAATTTCCGGAAACAGAGATAGACGCCCTCCAAAGCTCACAGATTTCCACTACCAATCTCAGTTGTCAAGCTGCTAAGGCAGGAGGACTGCCATAACGTGGGGTACACAGAGAGGCAGACTAAGGAGCAGGGAGGGAGGGGAGGAGGGAGAGAGCAGCAGAGGGGGTTATATCAACATCAGTCTGGTTCTCTTTGCAGTGAGCTCCTGTTTGCTATTTTGAGAAGGGACTGACTAGAATTACTATGCAACCCTAGCTAGCCTGGAGCTCAGGATAAGCCTGCCTCTGCCACTCAAAGAAAGGCTTAGAAAAGCCTACTTTACCTGTCAAGCTTTCCATTTGTCAACACTCCACCTGAGCTCAGACAGGTCTCAGAGGAGCCTGACTTGCTCCTGTTTCAGACAGCAGCTGCCTCCCACCCCTCCTCACCTACCCACTTTGCTCTTCTTCATGGTCTTCTGGATTCCTGATTCTTTGTCATCTCTGCCTCTGCTCTACCCCCCACCCCACTTCCCAGCCAATGGATGGTCCAGCACCTCATGTCTGGGGCCACTTTTGGCCTTGCCAGCTGTGGTCCCGACGCTTTGACCTTTGTTGGCTCTTCAAATGTTCCGCAGGACAGAGGGCAAGGAGTGTACTGAAAAGGAAAAAAGAACGTCTGTGAAAGAGATGAAGAGGGGAGAATGATGGACTCAAACAGGAATTACTGAGCTGGAGATACTCAGCTGTTAATGGACTTGCCTCGGAAGGCCTGGATGTGAGTCCAATTCTGGATGGACATGTAGCCGGCTATGGTGGCATGCATGCAATTCCCAGCACTAGGGAGAGGGAGACAGAAGACAGCCAAACCTAACTGGCCAGCTCTACACTGGAATGGAAACACTGTCCCATGAGACAGGGGGAACAACTGAGGAAACACACAGGAGGTGATCCTCTGGCCTACACACACACACACACACACATGAACACAGATACACATAAAATCATCTATGGCTGCTAATACAAGATGGCCAAAAGTTTGACAAGGATAGAATACCTAGACAGCATTACTACAAGATAACCCTCAAGCTAGAAAATTGTGCTCTGCTATACTAAGCACCCAGTGATGTTGTGCTCTCCTGACATGACACACAAAGGACACAATACCAAAAATGAAGAACCAGAATGTAGCCATGAGGGAAATCAGATAAACCCAAAGTTAGGGATGTTTTATAAAACAACTGGTTTATGTAACTGTTTCAGATGATGAAGCAGGGCTGATGGGATGACTCAGTAGGCAAAAGTGCTTGCTGCCAGTTCTTACAACCTGAGTTCAATTCCTGGGACTTACATGGTGGAAGGAGAGAACTGACTCCTGTCAATCATCCCCTGATCTCCATATTTTGCTGTGACATGTGGTATACATACATACATACATACATACATATATATATTATGTGATTAAAATTTTTTAAATGTCAAAGTAATGAAGGCAAGAAGAGAATGAAGTATTATATATCCAAATTTCAACTTTAAATGTGAAATTATGTCAAATTTTATTTTATTTTTAAAGACACTGATTATTTATCGTAGCCCTCTATAGGATAGAATCACTCTGTAGTAGTTTATCTGTAGGATAAACCCAGGCTGGCCTCAAACTCAGAGATCCACCTGCCTCTGCTTCCCAAGTGCTGAGATTAAAGGTGTATGCCAGCACTTCCCAGCTTGAAACAAAATTTTTTAGTGAAAAATAAAATTCAGAACAGCCAGGGCTACACAGCGAAACCCTGTCTTGAAACAAACAAACAAACAAACAAACAAAAAACCCAAAACCCCATAGTGTCAATATAAATGAAACTCTTGACTTGGAGCAACACAACCCAGTCAAGGGAGCTGAGGAGATAACCCAGTGCAAGCAGGATAAGGACCTGAGCTCAGATCCCAGAACTCACATAAAAAAAAAAAACAGAACAACAGACGAACAGAGCTAGGCAGAATGGTAGAAAGGTATCATCCTAGAACAGGAAGGAGAGACAGGGAGACCTGGAGGGGAGCAGTGATGCCCGCTGGGCAGCCATCTAGCTGAAACCATGCGTTCCAAGTTCAGTTAAGCAATGCTGTCTCAAAAAATAAAGTGGAGTGTGATAGAAAACACCTGATTGGGGTGGAGGGAATGGGGAAAGGGGATAACATCTGAAATGTAAATAAATAAAATATCCAATAATAAAAAAAAAAGAATAGCCGGGCAGTGGTGGCGCACGCCTTTAATCCCAGCACTTGGGAGGTAGAGGCAGGTGGATATTTGAGTTCGAGGCCAGCCTGGTCTACAGAGTGAGTTCCAGGACAGCCAGGGCTACACAGAGAAACCCTGTCTTGAAAAACAAAAACAAAAAAACAAAACAACAACAAAAAAGAATAAATATTTTAAAAAGACACCTGATATCAACCTCTGCCCTCCACATCTGTAAACGTGACCACACAAACATACAGACTCACACACACTCATGAGGTAAACGTTCCAGACAGGCTAAGTTTAAAAAGAAGCGAAGTTAAACTGTGTCATGTCATTAAGTAGTGTCCACACACATGGGAAAGTACAATGAAAAGCCATGACGTGTTCATCTCAGTCCGGCGCGGCCATCTCAGGAATGGAGGAGCACTGACTAGAACCTAAGAGAGTGCTCTAGAATCAAGATGACTTTCTCTCTGTAGTTAGTCATCTTTCTTGATGTTTTAAGATCGGGCTTCCCATTGTAGTGCAGGCTTGCACAGAGCTCACCGTGTGGCAAGTTGTCCTAAAACTTGTAGCAATCCTACTGCCTCAGCCACCTGAGGCCTGGGATTACAGGATTGAGCCACCGCGCCTGACTAGTACTGTTCTATTTCTTGGTTGGGTTAGAGGTGTGCTGCACTACTATTGTTTGAATGTGGATTTGAGAGCCCAAATCTTTTGAGTTCAGACTACATTTTAGAGAACCTGATCTAAGTTTGAACTCAGATAAGCTGGTACCTAACATTAGTTTCCAAGTTGCCCCCTGAGCCTAGCTCTAGGCTGATCCCCAACAAGACCAGTGTCTTCAGGTTACACCCTCAACAAGGCCGGCATCTCCAGGTTATTCCCCCAACAAACCTGCACCCCAGGTTACAAGTGCACCCCCTGCCTAACGACCACCCATGCAGAGGGGAGCAGAAGTTAAGTTTAGGATATGACTCCCAGCACTAGTCAACATGTTAAAGGCCACGATAGCTTTCCAATTAGATGCTTGCACACTTATCATCCCCACCCACCCTCCCCTGCTTGCTACTTACTATAAAGTCTTCTCCCAGATATTCAGGGCTCCCCTACCACCAAAACTGTCTGGTGTGATGGTGATGCACTGCCCTCACTGGGAGCTAGCTTAGGTAGAATAAAGACCCTGCTGTGATTTACATCAGATTAGTTCCTGTCTGGTTTTGGGTGGTTTAACCCTTCCCTGGCACTACAGATTATCCCTGAAGGACTCATTTGTTAGAAGCATGGACCTCAATGAGGAGAGGTGGAAGAACCTTTAGGAGTTGGCAGCTGGTGCAAAGTAATAGGTCAAAGGGGCTGGAGAGGCACATACAGTTGTAATGATGCAGAGAAGGTTAGCATGGCCCCTGAACAAGGATGACACATTAGTGAAGCGTCCCCTCCCCCCAAAAAAAGCACTGACTGCTCTTCTAGAGAACCTGAGTTCAATTCCCAGCAACCACATGGTGGCTCACAACCATCTGTAACGTGATCTGATGCCCTCTACTGGTGTGTAGACAGCAACAGTGTATATAAAATAAATAAATGAATCTTTTATTTATTTATTTTTTGTTTGTTTGTTTGTTTGTTTTTGAGACAGGGTTTCTCTGTGTAACCTGGGCTGTCCTGGAACTCACTCTGTAGACCAGGCTGGCCTCGAACTCAGAAATCCACCTGCCTCTGCCTCCCAAGTGTTGGGATTAAAGGCGCATGTCCGACGAATCTTTTTTTTTTTTTAAGTAATTAGGTCAAGGGCTGGAGGTATAGATCAGGGCAGTAAATCTTGCCCAACAAGTCCAAGGTCCAGGTTTGACCCCCAGAACTGCAATGACAAATATTATGTCTCTGAAACCATTACCTTCAGAAAAAAATTAATCCTGGTGTCACATGGACCATGCTGAACTCTAACTAGTTCTGCAGCCAATGATAACCTTGAACTGATTCTCCCGCCTGCACTTCCTGTGTGCTGTTCTCACACACCTGCACAGCCACACCTGTGAGCACTGTCATGGGAGTAAGCTTGACTACTGAGTCTATCTAGTCCAGATACTATGTGTTTTACTATGTGTCTTCCTCCTCCTGCTCCTCCTCCTCCCCCTCCTCCCACTCCCATGTTGATGCCATCCAGACTGCTGGGACACGGCCTCAGCAGAGCAGTGCGGATACTGACATCATGCTGTTAGGTCCTTAATACTTTGGGCTAAGCAAACCTCTTTTCTTTACTTAGTTCAGGACTTCGGATATTTTGTTATAGTAACAGAATATGGGTTAATGTACACAGACAGGTGGTTTATAATTATTCATTTAAAGCTGTTCTGTTCTTATGGGCACATTTTATCTTTACAATTTAAAATATTAAAAGATAAAATACGCCGGGCGGTGGTGGCGCACGCCTTTGATCCCAGCACTTGGGAGGCAGAGGCAGGCGGATTTTTGAGTTCGAGGCTAGCCTGGTCTACAGAGTGAGTTCCAGGACAGCCGGGACTACACAGAGGAACCCTGTCTTGAAAAAAAAAAAAAAACAAAAAAAACCCAAAACAAACAAAAAAAGACTGAAAGGGAACTGTGCATAGCAGGTGGTGCCTGCATTCCCAACACACAGGACGCTTAGGAGAAGGGTCGTGTGAGTTCCAACCCAGTGTGAGCTCCAAAGTGAGACCCTTCATCAGAAATAAACATAAGAAGAAGAAAGGGGCTGGGGAGAGTGTCTCCTTGCTGCTCTTGCAGAGGGCCTTAGCACACTGTCCAGTGCCCACAATGACCGGCTCATCCTGCCTGTATCCCCAGTTCCAGAGGATCACACACCCTCTTCTGGCCAACAGAAATACACATGTACATAAAAATACGCTTAAAAATAACAAGTAAACAAAAAAGACTAAAACCATAAAAAAGCAGCTGAGTCCAATATTATCAACACAAAAGTAAACATCATACATAAAGTATCTATCATAGGTCTGGCAATGCGGCTTTTAATCCTAGCACATACAGAGGCAGGAGGTCTCTGAGTTCAAGACCTGGAGTGAGAGGTTTGCTTTCCTTAAAAACCCAGTTATGTTATGTGAATGTTTTTGTTTTAATCCCTGGTGTGGGATATGGGGCTGTTTCAGTTTGTCCACAGCCATTAGCTATGACTATCTCATGCTCTATGAGGGGTGAGTTTGCAGCTGCAGAGAGTTTACATTTGGAATTCTGGGGACTCTG